TCAACGCGGTCAACCTGTGGTCAAAATTAAATTTCGATGGTTCAAAGTTGTGTACATGGTCTATTATGACGTATTTGTTATAAGAAGAGCATCTAGGAAAATGATAAGTTCTACCCTAGACCAATGTGTAACATAAAGTGTAATAGAACATTAGGGTTTCGTTTGGGGGAACATGCATTGCTAAACAAAATAAAGTGTTCAATTCAGTTAGCTCCGATTGTGTATCGAGGTCGTAGAGGCGCCAGCCTTTCTTGCCCGCCGGATACCCAACAAACACGCACCGAACATTGCGAGATGCGAACTTATCCCCGTGAGTATCCTTGTTGTGAGAGTAACAGAGGCACCCTACTGTCCGAAGATGATGATAAGCAGGAGATTTCCCATAAAGAACGTCGAAAGGAGAACGCCCAGACAGTAACTTTGTGGGAGTCCTATTGATGAGATGACCAGCAGTGAGAACACAATCACCCCAGAACTCAATAGGAAAACCTGCCTGAAACATCAAGGCTCGTGCAACGTTGAGAATATGCCTATGTTTCCTTTCGGCCCGACCATTTTGCTGAGGTGTATGAACACAAGATGTTTCGTGAATAATCCCATGAGTTCGAAAAACACCACCAAGACACATGAATTCTGAACCATTATCGGTGCGCACGGTCAAGACTTTCTTGTGAAACTGGCGCTCCACCATGGCAAGAAACGTAATAAGAAAATCAGATACTTGGCTTTTGTCCGACAACAGGTACAACCACACTCCTCTCGAAAAGTCATCAACAATCGTCAAAAAATAGCGAGCGCCACTAAAGACGGCGTACGGTACGGTCCCCACAAATCGCAATGTATCAATTGAAAAATCTCGGTAGTTTTATTAGAACTGGAATGAAAAGAATCTCGTGTTTGTTTGGAACGAAAACAAACATCACAATCAACAAAAGAAGACCCAAAAGGTCGATAAAACTCAATCCCAGAAATCTGCTCAATGACCGCTTTCGAAGGATGTCCCAAACGACGATGCCACACGTCAAACGAAACTGTGTTATGAGAACGAACAGCTAAAGCGTGTTCAAACCCTCGAAAGTAGTAGAGCCCGTCCCGTAGCTCACCCGCTCCAATCAGCATCTTCGAAACCCGGTCCTGAATGGAACAAAAACAATTAACGAATTGAACAGTGCAATCACAATCGGCAAGTAACTGTGACACCGAGATGAGATTGACCTGAAGGCCGTCAACAAAAAGAACATCCGACAGAACAAGTCGTGGAGAGAGCTGAACAGATCCGGACTGAACAGCAACTGAACAACGACCGTCAGGTAGAGTAATGCGGCACGGTGACACACAGACGGAGTCTTGCAACACGGAGAAACAACCTGTCATGTGACGAGAGGCACCGGTATCTAGGATCCAAGGAACAGAAGAAGACATACCCGAAGACGTAGTTGTCGCGCCAATTTTGCCGGCGTTAACTAGAGAAACAAGGGTCTTCCACTGCTCTGCATTCAGTCCAGGGAGGGGAGACGCATCAGAGGGTAATGCCACAGGCTCCGGTGACGCACCGAGAATACTCGGTGACGAAGAAACAGGGGTCTGAACGGAATTAACCCGAACAGAGCCTTTTCCTCGATTAGGAGCACCGCGACCTCCTCTGCCCGAACGACCACGAGGACGATCGCCCCACCATTCCGGATAACCCAGAATCTGAAAGCAGCTGTCAACTGCATGACCGGAACGACCACAGTTGGAGCAGACGACGGATTTGTCCTTTCCAGAAGGCAAATCACGAGGTTTCGGGGCAATGGAGACAGCAAACGCCGCGATATCAGAGGGAGGAATCGAGGAAACGACAGACGCTTTGGAGGCTTCGTCTTGAGTAACGACCATATATGCCTCTTCGACTGTCGGAAGAGGTTGCCGGGACAGCAAGTTCGAACGAACGACGCCAAATTTTTCATCGTCAAGACCCAAGAGAAATTCATACAAACGATCTTCTTGCCTCTGTTTCTCGAATTCCTCGGCAATGTTGCACACGCACAGACCGCAATGGCAAGTCTTCAAAGATCGGAGTGTAGCCAGATCGTCCCACAGCTTAGTGATTTTCCCGAAATAGGACTCCACAGTCATACCCTTTTGTCGGCAATTTGCTAGGTCGCTCCGAACACGAAGAAGACGCGGGGCACTTGTCATACCAAACCGGCGCTTAAGATAATCCCACAAATCCTTAGCAAATTCCCGATGAACTACATCCGAACGTAGCGTAGGTTCCAAGGTGTTTTTGATCCAGGAAACGATAAGAGAGTTGTTCGTTTCCCAGTCATCAAAATCGACGGAATCTGGGGCTGGAGTCGGAATCTTGCCGTCTACGAACCCAAATTTCTTGCGGGAACGCAGAGCATGTCGAATATTAATAGACCACTCCTCGTAGTTGGGACCACGTAAGAGCGGTCCCGGATTGTCGCTGGGACTAAGGTCATATGGAGAAATAGTTCTCCGTGGTACATCGGTAGAAAATATGGTCGGGTTCGTCGGCATTGTCGGATCAGTGGGTGTAGGTTGAGAAGAATCAGAAACGATAGTTTGAGAAGAAGACATCGAAGGAGAAGAAGAAGAGTGAAAAGAGGAAGATCAAGAGTCGTCGGGCTCTGATACCATGTCACGACGGCAATCGCAGCAAGAACAAAGAACAGGAAATCGGTACTGCGAATGCTTGTTGTGTTATTCATGGCCACCAAGGCTTATATGCACAAAGAGACGTAACTAAACCTAGCTGTACAAGGGATGAAATTCTATCAGATCCTATCAACAAGGTAACAACCCATATCTCGTATTATACATGATATACACGGAATATTCTCGCCCAATATTTAAAATCATTTAATTTCGTCAACCTTCTCAAATGCTCTACTAAGGGTTGAAATATTAATTTGTAGAAACTCTCCACATGGGAAAAAAAGAAAGAATAAATGTATTAAAAATCAAATTTAATACCGCAATAAAGCAAAGTCTCGTCATCTCTAATCCGACACCTGATCTCCGTCCAAATCCCAATCATTCAATTATCAGATTCCAAAAAGTTTGGTTTTTTTGTTCTTTTTTGCCCCCGCCAATCGACGACGTGTGTCTCTGATTCCAAAATATGATATTTACTGCTCAAGATTCTACCACATTTTTCAGAGGAATTAAGAGTCGTGGTTAAAAAAAAAAAATCGGTTAGTGAATGCGGGTCATTCCCGTTTGACGATAGAAACGTCGGGTTTGCAGGATAATGTCCGGAAACAACTGATCCAATTTGAGCTGCTGCTGACTACTGCGACGTTTGTAGTAGCCCTTTTCGGGGTTGTGGCCGGGGGTATCCGGCCTTGTTATATTTTCGGCATAAGTCTGGTTCTTCAAGTACAGAAGACTCGTGCCCCTATGAAGAAGATGATGATGACGCTGTAATCTTCTTTGCTTATTGTTCAGTCTCCTTCATAGATGAAATGTTATTTCTGAGAAAACAGAAGAATACACGGAATGAAGCTCCGACTTGTTGCAGTTCTTCCATAGTAACTGTAAGATTCCAAAGTTTATTAAAGAGTAAATTCAGGACGGAGGAAGAAAATGCATTGAGATCTTGTTATTTATTCGATATGTAGCCAAAACGAAAAAACAAAACGTGTCTTGACGATACTGCCTCCGACTATGAGTTCTACGGTCTTGAGAACAAAAAAACACTGCAGAATGGTTCTCGGCTTGTATGTGACTAGATTCCACGAAAAGGGTTTCGACCGTTGCACGAGAAAAGGCTGAAATTCTACTTGTCCGGAGACGACGAGCCAGAGGAAGAAAGCCGTGCTTTACGTGCCTTATCGGCCTTTTCCAAGTAGTCCTGGTGAGACTGATGCTTTGAGCCTGAAACAGACCATAAATTCCAGTCCTTGGCTCAAATAAACGTCAACAGAAATAATTCTTGCAACATAACAAAGTTAGATAATCAACACAGTTATAAGATGATGGGTTATGATCAAATAAAAATACAGTGGATTATAATCTCGTATTCAAGCAACTTGAACCATGAGGATGAGAACTGAAGGGGAAACCACAATCCAGAACACAGGGAAGTATCTCGCTGATCTTAAAACGCTCATGAGATGGAAAACATATAGAAACACGAACAAGAACATATGATAGGTAAAGTCATAACAGCTTCAGAAATCTGAGGTTCACCTTTCATCCAAGAATTTGGAGAATCACTGGTTCGAACTCAAAACATGTCAAAATCTTCCAATCATTAGAGCTTGCCGAAACTAATCTCTCAAAAGTGATCAACAGGCTAGGAAATTCTCATATATTCGATCAAATCCCGATTTTCCATTCCATCCATCAAATCGCCAACTTCTTTTTAATGGACCAATTTTAGCAGTCGTATCACCATCCATCACCTCCTCTCACCAAAATGCCCTTGTGATCGCTCGGAAATCACAGATAAGAACTCGACGTCACCTTTTCATGTCTTCCTAATCCTAAACCTCGAAACTAACTTATCTTTCTCTTTCATTTTCGCCTAGACCAAACAGGAAAACAACACCTGATCGAACCACCAACCAGAAAACTATACAATCCGAGGAAAATCCAGAAAACTCGAAAAACCCACCTCGATTCATCAGATACCAAGGGACTCCGAAGACGATGGTGATGATCCCGATCCCAGCCATGACGTGCTTCTTGTCTCCGCTGTATAGGGCATGCTCCATCTTTGCCCTAAATCCTCCCCCACCGTTATTAGCAGCTCCGCTGCTCTTCGCCTCGTTTCCCATCTCGATCTTCCTTCAATTCCACGGGATCAGGAATCAGATTTCCTTCCTAGGGTTTATCAGGAAATATCGATAAACTCCACGAAAAGAAAGACCGTTTGAGGTTTTAGAGACCTTTCTATCTGGGCCCTGTACAGGCCCGTTATAAACAGTACAAGCCCAAGAACCCAAACTTTTTAGATATTACATTTTGGCGTCACAACTATTTCGATTTTATGTTTTAGCTCCTTTTCATGTTCGAATTTGCATGCACTTCCCATTCCCCTCCTCGGGGGAATAGATAGCAGAATACTCGAACCGTATAAAGTTGAAATCTAACAATGCACCTTTCACTTAATTAATTATGTTTTAGACGTTATTTGTTTGTCGTGTGTATTTAAATTTCGGGAAGATCATATGTCACATCAAATTTAAGATGAGATTCTCACAACCTTGGCACCATTTTATCTACCATTATCCCTTTTTTTTTTTTACATGAACAACATTAGTTGAAAAATAGAGAAATAATAAATTAAAAAACAAAACATAAAATCTAAAATTAGCAATAGACAAAAACTAAATAAAACCAAACCCTAGCGTTAGGCTCAACATTCCTTCCTAATGAAGTCAACAACCATACAAACTTATCTAACCACCTCATTAATTACATTTTTCTATTTTGTTATCCAGTGTCTTTTAGTGTATTATAGCAACTTGATTATTATTTTTTTTTTTTTAATTTGAAGCGACTATGCAGCCAATTTAAGAGTATACAATTTTCTAAAGATTCTCTCTCGACAAAATACATACTTTTGACGCGGCAAACTATCCTAATCTACGAAGCATTAATCATTAAACAAGACAATAAATTTTAATTTATGGCATTTATTGGTGATAGGATTGGGCTTGTCGGGTTCGGACACGGATTTTGTCCCGGATCTATGGAACTTTGATTCAGCTAATAAATGCCCAAACCAAGACCCTTCTCGAATTTATCCCCGTCCTTCTCGGGTCGGGTAATTGCAACCCGACTCAAAAAAAATTTAAAATAAAAGATAATTAAAATAAAGAGCGGAAAACACGAACAATGACGTGTCAGGAAGTGATTGGTTGAAACCCTTCTGCTTGAGTACCCTCTCCGTCGATTCCTTTCGTTCTCGATCAGAAAAGCCCTCTCTTTCTTCCCACCATCGAAGTCAAAAGGATATTTCTCTTCACTGAGCCAAGATTTTCTCGCCTTTTCTGTCACTGTTTTTAACCATGGCTTTCTCATGACATGGAGTGCAACTTGGCGTACTAGATTTTTCATGAGAAGCGAGAATTTGGGCGATGAATTTTTGTTTCCTTGCTAATGCAGCTGCTTGTTTCGCTCAGTCTAGGGTTTTCGAATCTCGTAATCTCGGCAAATAGCTTCTGAGGTTGTTGGGTCTCGGTAATTTTGTTGTGATTCGGTGTCAGCGCTGTGATACGAAGGTGTGACAAGAGGCATTTTCGAGAAATCGGAGGCTTTGGGGCCAATGTCGGGTCCTCCTCGTGCCCGGTCGGGAAATGCCATCGATCGGGAGATCCGATCAGTCCTTGGTCCTGCCGGGAACAAGTTGCAGAGGAAACCGACGGCGAAGAAACCTGAGAAACTGGCGGCGGAGGAGACCGCCGAGTCAAAAGATGCCAAACCCGCGAAAATGACTTCTCTGGTGTCTCCGAAGACGACTCCGTCTCAATGCTCGCCGCTGAGCCCTTCGATTCTCCGGCGGAGCAATGTCTCGATGACTGCGTCGTACTCGTCGGACGCGTCGTCTTCGTGCGAGTCGTCGCCGATGAGTGCGGGATCTTTGTCGAGCGGGAAGAGGGCCGTGCGGCGAGGTGGGTCAATCTCCGCCGCTGCAATGGTCGCGTCGGCGGCGAAGAGGAAACAGGCGGAGGAGATAGAGGAGAAGGTTGCCGGTGGCGGTGATTGCTGCTTTGATGGTCAGAAAAGATGCGCCTGGATCACGCCTAAAACTGGTAACATTCCCTTCTTTCACATATTCTGGATGAATTGATTGGAAGAACCAAAGATGAAGAGGCTGAATTCCAGTTGAACTTGACATGACTAAGTAAGCTCGGGGAATAGATGAGGCTTTAATTTACATTATGCATAACTGGTATCTTGGTGAAGGTAAAGCATATTTTCATTTATTGCCGTGTTTGCTGATGCTGATACGATGTCACGTAGGTTATGCCAAATTGTTTTGGCATGCTCTGTTAAATTTAGAATTCAAGAACGTGGATATGGAACATTGTCGCCAATGTCCAGTTTTTGTAGCTTTGTTCATTGAGAAATGATCTGGGCAGTTACATATAGTAACATTAACATCTACTGTCAGCGATTCTCAATTCGCATTCCTTTTCTGAAAACGTAATCAGATTTCTATATTTGTGAGGAAAAAAAAAGGAATCTTCTGCCGTTTTGGCATTTTTTTCTCAAATTTTCAAAGGATGTATACTAGATGCACAAGAAATGCTTGGCCTTGTCGCGCTAGTAGCTGAGTAAATTGGTAATACTGGGATTTGCGGTGTGGCTACAGGATTTCTTTTTGGGTTAGCCAATCAGTATTTTAAATACTACTTAACGTCTTTGGTGCCTCTTTTGTTTACCATTGGTGCCATAGAATTGATCTTAGCTCTCTTTTGAATGGTTGCCGTAGAAAAAGGATAGATCAATTGTCGAAGATTTGTGACCCAAGTAGCCTTCCACTTTTGTTGTTGTTGTTGTTGTTGAGTATTGATAAGTGTCCCACATTGGAAAATGAGAGGGATTTGGGCCAATATATAAGTAAGGGTCAAACCTCCACTCTTAAGCTAGTTTTTGTGGTGGAGTTAGGACCTAAACCTTATTAATTGGTATTAGAGCCTAACTCTCTACTTTCCGGTGGGCCTTTGACGGACCGTTCTCCTGCGGACATGCGGTCGACTCGGTGGTTGTGGGACGGTCGGGAGAGGAACGGTCGGGAGAGGAACGATCAGGAGAGGAACGGTCGGGGATGGACCGAGAAGCCGCCAGTGATCGAGAAGCCGCCATCGACCGAGAAGCCGCCAGCGACCAGATTTGCCCCAGCGCCGTGGACGTCGCTGTCTAAAGGGAGCGGTATTGATAAGTGTCCCACATTGGAAAATGAGAGGGATTTGGGCCAATATATAAGTAAGGGTCAAACCTTCAGCTAGTTTTTGTGGTGGAGTTAGGACCTAAACCTTATATTCCTAACTTATCTTTTGGCTGATAGTCACGACATTTTATACTCAAGGCACCCATGGCTAGAAATTTATTTCCTCAAGTGCATAATGCCCAACTGATCCATGATGTATTTTTCTCTTGTGAAGACCCGTGTTATGTTGCTTTCCACGATGAAGAATGGGGAGTTCCTGTCCATGATGACAAGTATGTAGACTCAACCCATTTTTTGCTTACCCGAATATGATTTGAAATTCAAAAGATGCACTTTACACAGATGCAAGATATACTCGTTCATAGGAAGTCCTTCCTAAAATTGTGCAGGAAACTTTTTGAGTTGCTATGCCTATCTGGTGCTCTAGCCGAACTGTCATGGTCTGACATTCTTGCCAAAAGGCAATTATTCAGGTACCCAAACTAGCAGCTCTTGGTAGAATGCTTACATGTATATTTCAGTTTAAGTTTCAGAATCCAGATCATGGAAACCCTTCTGTTTAAAGTTTATTTGGCTGGATTCATAATCACAAACAGACTTTCTAGTCGCCCAGCCAGAATTATGATGAGGAACACAACAAAGAAACATAATAATATCAACATAGTAACATAATCGTATTGTACAGATATTTGTTTCTAAGAGCTTGCTTCTCAAATTGCTTTGTGTATTCAAAACAGGGAAGTTTTTCTGGACTTCGACCCTCTAGCTGTTTCTGAACTGAATGATAAAAAGATAACGGTGCCTGGAACCATTGCCAGTTCACTACTATCAGAGCTCAAATTACGATCAATCCTTGAGAATGCACGCCAAGTGCGCAAGGTAACAAAGAAGAATCTTACAATTCCAAGTCTTGAAGAACTTTCTTCTTGTAATAGTTTTCCTTGGCTTAAACCCATCATTTGTGATTTTTTTTAATCATCCAGATAACAGTTGAATACGGATCCTTTGGAAAGTATATATGGAACTTCGTCAACAACAAGACTATCCAGAGCCAATTCCGGTACCACCGTCAAGTTCCTGTCAAGACCTCGAAAGCAGAGTTCATAAGCAAAGATCTCATTCGCAGAGGATTTCGCAGTGTAAGTCCAACGGTCATCTACTCATTCATGCAAGCAGCTGGCCTCACAAATGACCATCTCACAAGCTGCTTCAGATTCCAAGACTGCATGGCCGAAGCTGACATGAGGTTGAAAGATGATGTGGGTAAAGGCAATCCCGGAAACTAAAATTGCCTGAGAGTATCTGGATTCGACGGCCTGTAAGTTTCAGAGAAGCATTTTCCTCCTAGAAGTTATGTTCTGGAAAATCTGTTTGCTGCTGTGAAGTATTTACCAGTTGTACAGATGTTTTCGGTTTTTGGTTCTAGTTTATGCACTTAGAGTGTAGTGATGAACCTCGAGGCCGGATGTATTCGGAGATCTTCTGTATTTGTATGAAACAGTTACATGCTACATTTCAATATCAGAAGGATGTTTCCTTCACTGAATCTACTGAATCATTACGACATGAATCTAAAACACTAACCGAAGGGAAACTACATATGATCTCAAGAACTATTTCTCCCTCAGATTCTGTTGATACAATCTCCCTGAAACAGCCGCGGCAAGAGCTGTCGTAAAGTTGGGATCTTTGGTCAGAGAAGAAGCCATCTGTTCCACCAAGAGCTTCCGAATTCCGGGAAGATCAATTCTTGAGTTTGTGGTCATGCCATTATTACCACCGAGCTTCTCGGGTTCTGTCTGGTCGATGGTTACGGCAGATTCAGGCCTGTTGGCTGCAGCCGGGGCTGAAGAGATCGACATACAGCGGCTCGAACCAGTGTTCGGCTCCATCTGCGAGGGCATTGGATGGTTATGTTCACCCTCGTAGGTTGCAACCAACACAGATTGGTCATCCACGCTTCTCTGCACCTGAAAAACCCCAAGAGGAAAACATGATCAGGTTTGAGGTTTAACGTTAAAAAGATTGGATTCCGAATTAAGATTTCCGAAAATGCGATGCAATGTACCTTCTTTTTCACTGGACAATTAGGAGCAAAGGCGCATTTGAAGTAAGCTCTTGGAGATGGGTTGTCCCTTGTGACCTTCTGCCCATATTTCCTCCATTGGTACCCATCTTTCACAACCTAGAAATTCCATCACAAACAAATCCGATTTAGAAATCAAATCAGCTTCTCGATCAAAACCAGAAAGAAAAAAAAACACATCAAAATTTTCAGGCTAAAGTTGCCAACTTTGATGGATTAACACGCCCAAACCAACGAGATCCCATGTAAAAAGAACACGAGGGGGTTGCTTACAAGGCTACGGTCAGAAACCTCGGTCTTGTAATAAACCCTAGAGACCTTCTCTTTGATAACAGTTTCTTCCCTCTGCTTCTTACACAACCCATCTGGTTCGGTCGAGCTGCTGTCAGAAACTCCGCCGGCATTATAAACAGCCGACGTAACGCCGTTGATATCGTCGATGAGATCTCTCGCCGGAGATTTGCGTTTCTTCGACGGACTCAGCTCTCTATCCACAGCGTTGTTCTTGTTGACGTAATCCATCAACTGGTTCTTCAACGCGTTGTAGTTCTCGCACATCAGAGTCAGCATTTCCGCGAGCTTCTTGTTCTCCGCACTCACGCGGTTCAGTTCCTCCATCAATGGACATGTCTGCAGACACATAACATTAATTATAAACTACACATGTTACATACACACACACACATATATATATAGACGTATGTATACAATTCTTGAACAAAGATTTGAAGGGAAATTACAAAAAAAAAAAAAAAAAGACAGGCATACCGCGGGTTCATCTTCAACCCGCATACGATTAACGCCGATGGTGAGATCCAAAGAAGTATTAACCCAAGATGAAGAGTACTCCATATGTATTAAACTCGATGCGTGTAATTGTATATATGCGTTTATATGTATTTGTTATGACTTCCCAAGCTAATGGAAGTGTTCACAGATCTCTCTTTGTAGATTCAGAGACTTATTTTCTGAGAGTTGTCTGTGTGAAGGGCAAAGAATTGGCGAATATATATATATATGTAGAGAGAGAGAGAGAGAGAGAGAGAGAGAGGGCTTTTAGGGATAACTAGAAGAAAACGGGAAACTCGGTGGAAAGAGGCAAAGGCAAAAAGACATGTGTTTCATTGTACATGTAAATAAAATAATGCATTTGTGTCTTGACCCCTCTGACTTCAATTGGGTCCACTTTACACATTTCTGTTCCCGTATTGAAAAATAATACAAGAAAAAGGCTCAGTGAATGAATTTAAATCGACAAGTTATTATAATTAAACATTTTATTCTAACAAATAAATACATTTTATTTATGTCTGGTTGTCTTTTATAAGCAACAATCTTCGAAAAAAAAAATCAATAAATTTAATAAACGTATAGGATTAAGATTAAGGATAATATAAGAGGGACATGTGGGGAACTAAGGATTATAATTATGAAAGATTATGGTAGTGGGTGTACTAGTATAATAGAGTGTGCGGCACGTGGTTTATTATTATTATTATTATATGGAGTTGCTTTTTCTGGTCAAAGTCAAAGCACACACGGTGTGTCAGAAGCTAGTGGACAATTGACATTTGGGGTTAGAGGAATTTTATAGAAATCTAATTCTCCTACTTACCCTTTTTTGTCTTTATATTTTATTTATCTATTTATTTAATTAATTAATGTTTGGTTGGTCTTGTGCAAGAGGAGTTCCAAATTGACCCGACGTCTCGTATCTTTTCTTCTTTCAGCTCCTCCTGTCGTGTCTTTCTTCTCGCTGAACAAAACATTTCTCCGACACAATATCAAACTCCAGAATTTTATTTAAGAAAGTGAAGTCATAATATATATATATATATATATATATATATATATAACAATCAGGGTTGAAGAATGGCTGAAGAATTGAAGATTTTGGTTTAGACAACCTATTTGGACTGGAAGGCAGAAATCGAATGAGAGAGTTTTTTTTTAGATGTGGGATGAAGATTAAGGGAAATGCTGTTTTCATTAGAAATGAAAGAATCATTGTAGTATCTAAATTCAAAGCGTTCTTAGAGGTTGAGTTTCTAAGTTTAAAAGGTAGAACCCAAGTTTGGGTGGTCTAGTGGTGAAAGAATATGCAATCCATGCTTTCATCCTGTATTCAAATCCAAGCGTGGGAGGGGCATTCACCTGGGTTTCCCTGATCCTCTGAAAGATGTAGTCAGACCAAAGACCCGGTGAACTTCCGGATTATAAAAAAAAAAAAGTTTAAAAGGCAGAGTTTTATTATTTATATTTGTATATCTTATTCTTTTTTTTAAAAAAAAAATTTATTGAATCCATGAGTGTTGTATATTTGAAAGTAAATTTTTTCCCGTTAGTTTTAAAGCTATATGAATTACGGATATTGCCAAGGAATAATTAAATATTTATAAATGATATAACATGAGACTATGAAATGTTTATGCAATAATTTAATTCGTCTCGAGTAAAGGGTTGTTCGACCGAACAACGTGTGTTGGAAAACTGCAATTTTTCGTTGGTCTCTCTTGGATTTTATACAATAAACACGTCTTAACATGTTTAGAGACAATTTGTATTCATTTTTTTTATAGAAATTGTGAATATTCTTATTTTTTTTTATTGATCTTTCCAAACTAATCGAAAATGATTTCTTTTCATTTTTATAAACACAAATTTTGTATTTGGTGATTATTATAAAAGCAAATTAATATCACTTATATCTTCTTTATATTTTAAAAACGTAATCTGATATTTTTTTGCTCCATTAAGACGTAATTATAACATTTTTCATAAAGCTGGATTTAACAATTCATACATTTGTTTCCTTGTTTATTATTGCTTCTGCAGAGTTGTCTATAAATCAATTCAATTTTCGATATTTTCATACGTGTTAATTGTTATGTTCCATTATTTAGTATAACTATCTGCTATTCTTCACAATGAAAACCCATAAAAATCTCGATTTTATAATTTTTTGTGAGAATTGGATCTATTTTTCAGAAATGAGCAGAGAAAAATAGCTTCAATAATTATATTTTAATTAGATTAAAAAAGTTTACTTTTTTAATATTGAATAAAGGTGTGTAAGGAAGAAATTTCCTACTGTATTTGTCCTAGAGTTGAAGGAGGTCAAAATCTCGTGGATTATCCATTTTAATCTTAGGTTTAAAGATTAATTAGCATATCCAAAAAGCTATCTACAAATTAATTTGACTAAGCAGTGACCAAGATGGACTTTTTCGTTCATTAATATATATATATATATATATATCCATATTTTACAACAATTTCCTATGGTAGATGACAAAGCCGACGACTCCATATTCTCTTGATTTGTTCCCACACGTTATCCTTCTTTTTCCAACCTTTTGAAAAATAAATATTCAGAACTATTTAACTAAATAATATTCTCCGAACAATTTCAATGTCGCAGCATCCATATGATCCATGCATGCATTCACGACCAAATCTAGCTTTAACTTCTGTCTATATCAGACAACGACTCAATGAGACCAAAGTAACGAAAGTTTAGATCTTGGATATGGAACAACTTGGTTGAAAACTACAATGCATACATTGACAAGTGAAATTATTTATATATAAAGTTTGGAACTGTATTTTATGTTATAATATGAGGATATTCATAACTAAATAACATATAAATATATGAAAGTTTCAAAATAAATACGTAAACTAAAAATAATATCAAATATTTTTAAATATCTATTTTTTTTATATATGATAAGATGTTTAATATACTATCTATCTCGTAATTTGTTTCAAGATCTAATATATCTCAACAATGATGTCAAATTATTTAGTGATATTTTGTACTAAATTGATTGATAATCACTATCTCATAAAACAAAACAATGAAAATTTAAATTTAAGATTTTAACCGTGGAACATGGACTACAACTTGATATGTGTTGGTTAATTAGTCCAATTATTGGTATGGAAATAATGTTTATTAATTCCCTATCGTATAAATATATATATATATATATATATGTATATATACCATTCTAGTTTATTAAGGTACAAGAAAGGTCGGAAGTCGTATGTGTATGTGGTGTGCTGGTTATGTTTTCACAATCCTCGAGAATTAGAGTCTACCAATGTACATGCACTATTACCAAAATTTAGATGGTTACGATTTTCATATAGAATTATACGTACGGATATTTTATAATTTAATTAGAAGAGCTCGTAGGACAGAATCAACTCGAACTTGGTTTTGCCTAATTAACCTAGCAATGAACTCTGGCTTAACCAACAAGGATTGTGCCTAATTCAGCAATTAAACCATAATTTCAATATATATATGTGTGTGTGTGTGTGTGGGAGAGAGAGAGAGAGAAAGAGAATTAATCAAATCATTTGTTGGATTGGTTTGTTATTTACCAAGTCAATGATATTGATACATTATAAATATTACAGAAAAAACAGTGGAGATTAATATTTTATATGATCGAATAGATATAAAAAATGTTTTTTTTTTGTAATAAAATTTTAATAATAGGAAAATACAAATTAAATATAAATATAGCAATATGTAAATTTAAGATAAAGATGAAAGACTATATAGATCGACAACGGCGGTAGAGGTATATTGCAATTTTGCAAAGCATCGCTTAGAGAAAGACAATATAGAATTAAATGATAGTCTCATAATTACAATAACATTTGTAACCTTTATATCGTCATCATCAAAGTCTGCATGTTTTGTGAATAACCGTTGAATATTCATTTGGGTGGCGTCATTGATGATGAAGTGACGTGCAGCCAAGTGGACGAATTCGGCACTGCAGGAAAATATTAATTAAATTAAAAAAAAGACTTGACCTCTTTGACCGTTGACCTCATGACTGAAAAATATTACACGAATGGGGTTGTTCTTCCATTATTGAATAATTTAGTTTGAATCTCACGATAAAAACGGTCCGTTTATGTAACATATTAATAACTTATTAAACTTTGATTCCGGCAAGCAAATCGAACGAACTTATAATTTCGTGCGGCATATATCTTGTTGCCAATTGATTGTAACCCATGTTTTGTTTTTAAAATAATTTGTCATATCACTATATATTTATATATGTATATCAACATTCTAATAGAACATGAAGTTTAATATATATATATATATATACATGTCTATATTAATTATATATTTATTTGGGTTAGTTCAGCATTATTGAATTTAGGTTAAAAAACAAGTAACGAGTTTAAATAGAAAGAATAATTTATTTTTAATAAAAAATTTAATATCAGAAAAAATTCAAATTTACTTAAACTCTAATATGATAAAAATTCTTCATAATATTTAATAGGTATTATTAACTAGAATTTTTTTTTCTTGGACGAACACATTAATTTCTGTAAGTTATCCAAAATTGTTTAGTTCAATCAGTAAAAACAAATGAACAAAATTCTTTTGGAGATGTATTCACATAGATTTTCTCGATTTTATATGAGATGTAATCGGATAATAAAAAAAAATGAATTTCTAGATTTTAAATTAGTTTTTTTTTTTTTGTAAGTTGTCATATGTTTCATTGACGTGTAGTTTTCGTTTGTTAAAGTCCAAGTTCAGTTAATTGTAGACCGTATCTGAAAACCAATGACTAATCCAAAATATCATGCTACGTTTTACTTTTTTTGAATTTGATTTCGAATTTTTTACTTTTCTCCCGTATGAACGAATTTTCCGTATCATCAAATCCAAGGTTTTCATTTGACTCCAAATGAAAAGTACGGATCCATATGTTTATTGAATCCTACCCGTGATAAGTTCGATTTCTCTGTAATACAAAAATAGTTTTTTTTAGTATTGAAATAAATGCAGTGTTTACAAAATATATATATATATATATCATATAATTGAATTGGATCTTTTATATATGATTTAGTTATTAGAATCTATATGGATGTAATTTATAATAGAGTTTCTACTATGTGAACATATGCAGTTGAACTCATAAAAATATTTAGATTTTCGAAAGAGAAAAAAAAAAACATGGTGATTCTTTTCACTCTTTCTAAATCTACAAGTGAATAGAAAATTGAATTTATATTAAATCTCTACATAATAATCGTCTTAATAATCGTCACCAAAGTTCTTTGAGCGGAAAACATTCTTATGTTATGTGTATCCATATTTTATCTCGTATTTCATTAGAACTTTTAGAAAATCAAATGAAGATAACACCGTACCGTACCATACATAGAAGCATATATATATATATATCAATCCAATGCATCAATTCTTCTAATTTAGTAAACATTTGGGGGTCCCACTGATTACACCGATTCCACTCGTAAATGAGAAGGTTAAAAAAATTTCAAAATATCGTTTTTGCAACTGAAATCGTAACTATAAGCAATCATTTATTTTTAAATGGCAACCACAAATATAACGGTACAGCCAATCGGGATCTTAATTAATAAAAAAAATACTTATAAGCATACTATTCGGATATTACAGCAGCGGACGTTGGAACAGTGAGGATTCGTGAATCCACGTTTTCTCCATCTTATATTATTATATTTGAATATTCCGATGGTGCGATGTGGCTTCACGATTTTTGTCGTTTTCTTTTCTTTTTAAATTTTTTTTAATTACGGATTCGGTCTCTTTTTATTTATTGATGGTACGGTCTACTCAAACGAATTCTTTGAATTCAATTAAAACGAATCATGCTGCTGACGAAATGCCTGTCTTTTAAGAGAACCAATATGCAAGACAGCTTACGTCACGTTTTGTCTGAATTCTCCATTTTTTTTTATTATCTACATTTTTCGTGAAATCTTATTATGAAAATATTTATTTTAAATTGAATAAAAAACCGTTTTAACGGAAAAATGATGTAGAATATATTGCTAAAAAATGCTAACCAACATTCAGTGCAGACATACTACATGTATTATGTATATATATATATATATATATACAGTGTATTTACAACAATGAAAAAACATACATATTACTTTTTTATCGCAAGTTCAAATCTAATAAAAATATTAATAATTGGAAGTTCGGTATAGGAATTGCGGAATTGTGGGAATTGTTCCATAAGACAACATGACTTTCTCCTAATCTCTGTATTGGATAGATGTAATAATAATAATAATAATAATAATAATATTAGTACTAATAATAATAATAATAATAATAATAAGATTCATGGCGTCAACTTGTGTACATTAATATATACATATATATGTGTATATATGCTTATATATATATTTTATACACATATATGCATATGCCACAATACATATATACATATATACGCATAAAGACAAAGGCACATACACATACTTACACACACACACACATATATATAATTATGTATATATACACACACATGACACATGTACGGACCCAACCCATACACATTACAATGGGATCCTTTGCCCCCATTGTTTATTTAAAAATCTTTAAATTTCTTTATAAATTTTATATTTTTTTGAATAAAAATGTAAAATGCCCTCTGTATTAAAACATTTAAATTATTTTGCCTCCTTCGAAAACTCATCATAGGTCCGCCACTGTATACACAGACATTTTTTACGCACACATATATGATATATATATATATATCATATATGTGTATACTGGTCTATTTTGTACATGTAGTGTATAAATATGTGAATATGTGTGTATATTTTTTACTTTTTTAAATGTTGACGTGTCTATTTGTGTCATTAAAAACATATTGACATGATATCATTTGTATCCATCCTGATCAAAATTGTGATGAGTTATGTTAACTCTCGTCGTATTCCGTTAAATACCTAATTAAAAAAATTATAAATTTATTTAGAAGTGTAAGAATATATACATATTCACGAGACATATTTATACAAAATGAATGTTTTATATAAAAGTCTGGCTACGCAAAATAAAAGCGGAAAATTGTAAGAAAAATAGTTAACAATATATATATATATATACGTGATGGTGATGGAACGACCCACGAACCACGATGCGCCTAGCATTATATTTGGGCCCAATATTTTCTATGAGCCCAAAATAGGCCCAAACACTTGCCAACCCCAAACGCAAATTCATATACACTTCCCGGCCCAAAAAACAGTAGTTTTTATTTTTGCAATTTTGTTTTGGAGTACAAATAAATTAACCGAGGTTTTTTTAAAAACGTGATTTTTTTAATCTCTTAATATTGAAAGACCAACAATTTCATATACCAAAAACTAAACACTCGTATACCAACAATTTGATCGGAGTTTTGAAAATAATTATATATCTGAATTGCTTTAAATGGAAAGACTTGAACACCCAAAATATAAATATCTGGTTCCACATAAATCTCAGGGAAGTCCACTAAAGCATCAAAACCAATAAAAACAGGAGAAAGGAAAGGAGGGGCAAGACAAGAAAAGGCATTCTCTACTCCGCCACTATCTAGTGAGACTCGAGGTGCTTCCTCACGACGTTGAGAGCAGTTGTCTCCTCGCCGTAGTCCTGTAAGAAGAGAGTGGCGGCCATGGCAAAAAACTCAGAAAATCCAAACAAAAGAAAGAATCAAGGAGGAGTTCATAAGAGCGAGGGATCACACCTTCACCACGATGCATGAGCATCCAACAACTTTCCTGGCTTTGCCCTCGGAATCAATCTTGCAAAGCTGCAGAAACAGATTAGAAAACCCATTAATCATGTTGAGTTTCATGTTTTGGTTACACACAGATAAAAGGGAATGGGAGTGACGAGGGCAAGAACACGACCGAACAGAAAATCTCTACATAAAAAGGAAAAGAAAGGACATACACCGGCCCATTCGCCAAGGGTCTTGGCATCAGGAACGGTAAGCAAGTTAATGTTGTGGTCAGCACAAAGGGCTTTGACGAGCTTGACATAGTCAGGCTGGTCACAGCTCTCGGCTAGGACACAGAGCTGAGCAACACGCTTCTCTATGAGCTTAGCGCATTCATGAAGACCGCGGGTCAGACCACCGTGGGCACGAGCCTTCCTAAGGGTCAGCTCCAATGCAGTCATCAGGTCCATGTCCTCCGGAATAGCTGCTGCCTCGGCAGCTGGGGGAACAGCGGGAGCAGCTTCATCGCTGCACAAGCAAATTACACAACTCAGACCAACACAAAATAAATAAACATTCAACAATATACATCCATACCATCATATTATAGTCTATTGTTGGTATATGAGCATTCTGGAGTTATACAGTACCAATAAGAACGTAGTATGACCGCCGCAGTAGTCGTACGAAAACAACAAAGTGAAAGAACAGAATTGGCATTCCCCGAATAAATTAAGAGATTAAACATCAAAGAAGAATTAAGGGTGGGACCATATGCAAAATTTCTGAAGATGAATCCTACATTTTTTATCCAAAGGTTGAATTACCTAATTCTTGAAAGGTCAAACAATGAATCAAACATATCAATTCAGTGAACAACATGACAAAGCAAGAAAACTCTACGCGCACAGATAGAACAGCAAAAACGTGTTACGCAATCGAAGAAAGAAACCCTAAAAATCAGATCATCATCGACGGCGGAATAAGCAGACTAACAAGCGTAGCAATGCCACAGAGAGGTATGAGGCGAAAGGCACTTACCCAGACATATTTTCTCTTTGAAAAGCCGCTGAAGACCAACCAGAAAACGAACACTTTTCTCTCTGCCAAAAAAGAAAAATCAGACACACGAAGATGAGATGCTTCCAGATCAAAATCACCCAGACAACAAAGTTAAACAATCAATAAAAGAAACACACAGATCGAAATCGAACGAAAGCCACGATATTGCGAAAAGACAATGAGAAACCGAGAAGAAAGTAGCATGAGAAGGCAGACCTCGGAGGCTTCGGGGGCTGCAGGTAAGAAGAAAGAAGGGCTCAGAGACGAAGCTACTAACAATATATGGGGGGGGGGGAGCTAAAACCCTAGCACAATGTCTGTTTGGGCCTGAACTCGTGGGTTATTGCAGCCCAACTCTGATCTTGCTTAGGTATGTTTGGGCCTGAATTCTTGGATTATTGCAACCCAACTATGAATTTATAATGATCTGGCTAGGGTTTAGGGTTAGGATTAGTCCATGGATTGGTTACCTGAGTCTATTTGGGACCCTGCACACCCTAAATGGGCTCACAGTGTATTTATTTTAATAACACAGGCCCATTAAGTTGAGCATTTGAAACGTCGTCGTTTTACTGTCCTAGATTTCCCATCCAGAGTAAATTTTATGGTCTAATCATCACAATCACAAAAGGCTAAGCTAATGAAAGAGCTAATATGCGACGTAAAACCCTTTTGAGACATAACTGATAAAGTAATATACAGAGCCAATGGCAATTTCTATTCAGAATACAAATTGCAAGGCACGAACAAAAAGAAACAAATATATAAACAGAGAGATTATATATTTGGTCTCCCATTCCTTCTCTAAAGAAAGATCCATTCTCTTTAATCTTTTGTAATTTGATTTCAGCGAGCGACCTGTCCATTCTCAACCCCTAACCCATACAAAACCCCAGAATACTTCTCCATTGAGCCACTGAAGAAATTCTCCTTCAGCTTCCAGAAAGTACACGATGTGAGCAAACTGTCCGAACCCGCTTGATGACAGATTCCGACACGTTCAACCTCAAGAAGCTCGGCCAGCTTGTTCAGACCGCCGTGAAGGCTGTTGCAGAACTTCATCAGGTGTTTGATGTCGTAAACCATCGGGAAATATATCTTGATCAGCTCAAAGAACCCTGATGCTTTCTCTGGCAGATTCTGGCATGTCAGGAGCTTCAGCAAGTACCCGAAATCGTATCCGCTGTGGAATGTCACCCAGTGAACGTTCTCGTTGAGCACGATTCCCGATGACATCAGGAGCTCTGCGTATCTCCTGGAGTCTATACCATTGTCCTTGTTCTTGGCGAAATCGATGCCCGATTGATGGAGAAGCTCGATGGAATCGCGGGCGAAGATGTCAGAGGTTAGATCGAATTCCCGGAAATTGAACTGCCAGATGCAGTACTTGTCGGTTCCACACGTGGGGAGGTTGCCTTTCTCGTCGGAGAAGGTAAGTCCGAGCTGAATCAGCTTCAACATGTCCACGTTCGTCTTCAAGGTCTTGTAGTTGTAATCATTGCTCGTCTTGAAGGTCCCGACAGGTTTGCAAACTATTCCCGGGAACTCGGTGTCCATAGCGACGTACGGGAAATCTTCTACGATTTTCCGGATCAGAGCAAACTCCTCCTCCAGGTTATCGTTCCAGACCTCGCGAATCTGGATCGAGTCGTCCTTCAGAAACAGCGACATATCTCCTGTCGACGGTCGAAAAGGTTCGGCAACGAAATTCAGAAGAATCTGGATGGCGATGGAGACGGAAGAAATCGAAACCCTAGAACGGATCTAACACAAGATCCAATCCCACTTATGCATATCTGCGATGAATACAACACCAATAAGTAATACCGAATTCACCAAAACAGAATTAAGTCGCCCAGGAATCACTAAATTCAGTCTCGATTCGATGGAACCTATCATAAACAGATCAGATCCCGCGTATTCACGCACTCAGGCACACACAAATGTGAAGAATCAACAAGACATCAGGAATCACATACATATAAATACAGAGAGAGAGAGAAAGATATATAGAGAAACAGAGACAGAGAGAGAGAGAGAGAGAGAGAGAGAGAGAGAGAGAGAGAGGAAGGCGTTCATGGCGGTCGTGCAAACCTGGGAAGCAGATTAAAGGAGATGGAAAATTCTGGAGAATGAGGCGACTCTCGTGGCTAGGGTTTTCCGAGGGTGTGGTGGTTTATTCAAGGGAAGAAGAGTTTTCTCGAAAAACGGTTCACAATTCACATTTCTTTCGCCCATTTTTTTGAACAAAATGTTTTTGAATATTTCTTGGTTGAATCTGTTTTGTTTTCCTCTTTCCGCCCTCTTCTCTGTAATTATTATTTTAGGGTGTAATTTAAATATCAAAGTTACAACCAAAATTTATAAATATGAATATACTACCAAATAAAATTAATTACACGGACATACCAAATCCTCTTTACAAGCCATACAATTTAATTTAAATTGATACATGGACAAAAGCCGCTGAAGACCAACCA